AGAGAGCACTTGTTTTTGTGCACGCATTTGTACATTTTAATATCTTCTACGTGGATAATTATAATATTGTGTGGGTTCTAAAAACGGTTTTAGTAAGTGTTTGAATCTATAAATAAATTATTCTAATACTTATTGATTATAATTCGACGTTATAATTTTTACCCACGTCACATCATTTATATGGAATGGCGGAAGTTCATTTATCATCCCACATCTGCCCACTCGCTGGTAATGTCAAGTAATTTCTAACAATATACCAGTTTTGCGATTTGACTGATTTTATGATTTTTATCAAATTAGTTTAATAAAATTTTGTGTGTCAATACATAGCTTCATATTAAGCCAGGATGGGTTTATATTGCGATAAAGATTGTGTAAAAGCATTTTTGTATACAATTTTATTATTAGGGTTCTGTAGCTTAAAGGAGAAAACGGAACCCTTATAATTTTTCTATCTGTCTGTTCGTATGTTACAGACATTTTACTTGGGGAGTGGAGAGTATTCTTTTTTAGATTCGATCCGTGGGACGTTAAATATGTTGGGACGTTAACACACAGCACCATCTAGTTCCATGGTAAGCTACGAGGGTAAGCTACTATACGAAGCTTGTGTTATGGATACCACATCACACAAATAAATGCCTCCAGGGACTCGAACCCGCGACAAGTAGGGTCACTACAAACTGAGCCAAACGTGTCGTGAAACGTTGTTACTCAGTATTGAGATAATATAAAAATAGTAATTAATTTGGTCATATATTTTAAGTTTAATTCAAAATTGCTATAATACTAACGTAAATAATAAGTAAAAGTAATGTCACTCTCTAGTTATCTATAGATGTACGTGAAATGAACAAATGAATGAAGACTTTTTGGCATTTAAAATTATAAAAAGTAAAAATTAAAACTGTATAAATCCAAAGCTCTGTTGCATTTGCGGCAATCTGACAAGTGAATTGAAGTAACCGGATTGAAATTCAACGTGAGGCAATTTTTTTTATATTATTACCAGTGTTGCTATTTCAAAAGACGTAAAGTTCGCCAACTCGCTCTTGTCCAGCGTGGTGGGCTATGACCTGATCCCCCTCGTATTGAAGGGAGTTAAGGCTTTAAAAGGGCTGAATAGAAAATACATTGCGATACTTTTCATTTTTGAGAGAGACTGACTGACTGTCTCTCCTATGACCAAGTTTGCTGTCAAAATAAAACCACGCAAAAATAGTATTATTTAAAATGTCAATATGCGCCCAAACCTAAGAAAGTATAAAAAACATATATAAAAAGTGTTTTTAAGACTTATTATATTGCCGATTCTTTGTTTATTTGTAACTAGAGCATTGCCCGCGGCTCCGCCCGTGTTTAGATGATCAAAAACCAAATTCTTAGGTTTTACATATTTGTATACTCTTACATTGCAGTTTTTGTATTTTTTTCTCAATAATGAGATATTTTCCCGCGGTAAAAAGTATCCTATACCAAATTTCATCAAAATCTGTCCAGTGGTGTTCTCGTGATGCGGTAACAGACAGACAAAAATTCTAATAACAATAGATTCGGCCTCTGTATCGATTATAATGAATACATATTTCAATAAAATTTTCCAAAAAATATTTAATGTACAGATTCGACTCGGTTAGACTTTTATTATATGTATAGATTTACATACAAATTGACATTATCTTTAAATTTTTATATATAAGTAAAATAATATGTTATCAAGGAGAACCTATACCGCGTGGGTGCAATCTAGTGCACCGTACCTATGTCAGTGCAAAATGCATTTTAAGCAAATACATCTAAGTTACATTTTTGATGAGAGTCTCAGAAACGGTAGTTTTATTTTCAAGTAGCGCTCCAATGTGGTTGGATTTTACTACGTTTTTATTTATACGTTTTTTTGTCCGTTTGTTTATTCGTTTTTCTGTTCAGTACCAAATTTGGTATCGATTTCAAACTAGATTCTCGAATGGAACAATAGAATTTGGTCCTATTTAAATAACATTCTACGTGTCTTTCGAAAACTTGCTAGGTTCTATCAGACACGCAGGTTTCCTCACGATGATTTCTTTCACCGTCTGACAAGTGGTAATCATGTTGGGATTATTCACATATGAAAATATCAGCGGTTCGATTCCCGGGATTCGAACCCGCTTCACTCGGCTTCCCAAGCTAGCGGTTCACCACTGGGTGTGTGTCTGTGTATTGAACTGTATCCAAATTTGTTCAGCGTGAAGGTTCATATTTATGTCACCAGTGTGAGTACTTCACGTATGTACGTACATCCCATAGAGTATTTAGATGATCATAACCTTGCTTTTTTAAAGTCGGTCAATAATTAGCGAATATTCTAATCGGTTTCGTTTATTGATGCTTTTTCTTCATAAAGTACTAAAGTATTTTATTAAGACACGGAGATGCAGACAGACAGCGCTTTTATTTTTATTAGCGACTATTTATCAAAATTGATTTTGAACTTTAAATTTGTATAAATAAGGTTTAAATTGGCAAAGTAAGATAAAGTTTTTTTTTAAATTGATCCACTACGGGCTTCCGGTAATTGAGAATTAAGAAGGAAATTCATTTAGGCTAACACCATGAAAATGTAAAATAAACTTTAAATCCATGGGCTCAAAGTCGGTTTCCAAATAAAAGGTACTGTAGCATGGGGTTATTCTAAGGACTAGAGACGTAAGCTATACTCTTTTTGTTTAAACTTTTTTTTATTCGACCTAAGAGGCTGGAGACGAGATTTATTGTTAAACTACCTTTATCCAGCGGTTCTGCTCGCGTAGTTTATTTATGTTAAACTAATATTCGCCCAGTGGTTGAATTTCGATCATAAACATGATTGATAATAAAAAAAACGGATATAATTATAGAATTTATGTACCTAATACCTATATAAAAAAATAACTGTAAAAATATTTTTTTATTGATAACACTTAGAGCTCGCCAATAGCTACCTAAAAATAAAAAAAAATAAAAAATTGTCTGACTAACAGATGAGAAATAGGTACTGAACTGTTTTGTCTTTGCCTATTTATATATAGGCTAGAGACTCATCCTCTCTTCGCTCGGGTTCGTCCCTACTTGCTTCCCAATACAAACTTTCATCCCCATTTTCATCCCCTTAAGGTATGATTTCCGGGATAAAAAGTATCTCATGTCCTTTCCAGGGTCTCAAACTATCATTTTACCAAATTTCGTCTAAATCGGTTCAGTATATCCAGAGATTACCCCCTACAACGTCATAAACTCACAAACTTTACCTCTTTATAATATAAATATGTATAGAAGTATAATACATTTTGTTTAAATTGCTCATATCATCTCATATTTTCTATCCCCAGAGGATGTTGTTTAAATCTTTGAACTGAAATAGTAATTTTAACTAGGAAGATGGTTTCCATTTTTTGATTACTAACTTTTTTATGGGATTTTCATACAAACTTCCATACAACATATTGTGTTTTTTTTCTAAAATCACCCATAGGAACATCATGATGTACCTATGTAGGTACTTAGTACTGAGGTAAAAGCCTCGGACCCATAAACTGGATCTGAGGTAAACGATCACGTTTATTGCTTCATTCCACCTAGCGTGAATGAACGAAAAATTAACAAACACGCATTTATAGTATTAGAAAAAATTACTAATAGGTACTTCAGGAAATGATCCCGTCACCGTATGGGATTTATTGTCAACTACGCCATAGAAAAAACGTACTGGACTCTAGTGAATAGAGTGTGCCTCTTCAATGGTTTTTATGTTGACACGATCTTTACACCCCCATGAAAGGGTTGAAAAGATATTGAGAACAAGACCTAGAGCTGAGACCTAGATTGTGTTTTGTTTAGAAATTTTTAATAGGTCGTCCCCTGGCTACTAACTAGAGCCTAAATGACCCCATATATATACGAGGCTCTTACAGCCTTGACATTTTATGTAAAAGTTGTGAAGCAAATTAAATAAATTTAAATATTATCTGCGCTAAGTTTTATTGAATGTGAGTTTTATAAGGAAAGAAGGGCTGTGTTTTTGGTGATAAGCGTTTTGATAATTATGCAATCTTTGTCGATTTTTTTTGTTTTATTCTCGATGTTTCGAATGCTTTACAGCGAATATGTCTCTCGTCATTATGATAAAATCGTTTTATTAATTATTAAAACTAGCATTGCCCGCGGCTCGTGATAATATTGATAATTTCAACAAGATTTCCCAAAAATTATTTAATGTACACATTTGACTTAGTTAGAATTTTATTATATGTATAATAAATAATAATAGATGTTAAATATTCCCGTAAATCTATACATATAATAAAATTCTAACTAAGCCGAATCTGTACATTAAATATTTTTTGAAAAATATTATAGAAATAGACATTAGGTATTATCGATACAGATACCGAATCTATAGTTTTTAGAATGTTTGTCTGTCTGTCTGTCTGTCTGTCTGTTACCGCATCATGGAAAAACCACTGGAGGGATTTTGATTAAATTTGGTATGGTGATAGCTGGTTATCTGTGTCAACATATACTTAGATGATATTTACCGCGCGAAAATATCTCATTTCTGAGAAAAAATACAAAAACTGCAATGTAAGAATATACTAATATGTAAAACCTAAGAATTTGGTTTTTGGTCATCTGAATGCGGGCCGAGCCGCGGGCAATGCTAGCCTAAAATAATATTATTTGTATATACAACAATTTATTTTTCTTTTTTCAGGTAAACCAGCAGCGCTGTGAATCAATATGATTCATCAAGTAACATAGAAACAAACACCAATCCAAAACGTCTAGAATGACTAGAATCTCCTTCGAACCTCACTCATGTGATACGATCTACGTAAATATACCTATTTTAATATAAAAAATCTTTTCAAAACAAATTCGTTCCTCTAGTATAGTGTCAATTAACCAAAGTAGCCCGGAGGGTTGCCCTAAAAGGCGTTGAAATTATTTTTTCTAACCAAAGCTAGTTTAAGATGTCGAACATGCCAATATATAGTCAGGTATTACCTAAATCGCAGTTCCGATCGAAAAACTCGAAAAGCAGCGGTTCGAGAGAACCTCGAGCTCCCAATACTGGGAGAGAGTTCGATCCTCTAAATTATAATCATGGTGGCAATATTCAGTTGCTAAACGCCCCCATGGAAAGTCGGATAGAGAAGATGGAGAAGAGGGAGTCGAGAAGAAAGGATGAGACGAGATCGAAGAGGGTTCAGAATAGAACTGATTCAAATGAAGGCAAAGTTGAAGCATATTTGAGGCAGAACCAAGTGAATATGAGGCAACAGCAGCACAGGCATTCTGCAGTGAGGCAAGCAGAACATCGTGTTAACTTAAGGTTAGTTAATTGATTAAAGATTTTTTATATATCTTATATCTTATATATTTAAACGAGCTATTCTTGTATATATATTGTATATAATCTGAATCTCGTAAACGGCTGCAACGATTTTCATGAAATTTAGCACACAACGGGTTTCGGGGGCGATAAATCGATCTAGATTAGTCTTATATCTGGGAAAACGCGAGTTTTCGAATTACCATGCGATTTTTTTTTGCATTTTCACAATTTTTGCATTGTCACTTCTGGTGAGTGGGAGGCGCCACTGTGCAAATGTCAACATCGTGTCCGTATTTACATCAAGTTTAAAAATATTTAAGTGGAAGTAATCTAAAGAAAAATGGTAAATGTTTACAAATTAATCGATAAAACCTATAGGCAATATGTAAACATCACCAAGTCTTGATGTGTTTAAGAACAAATGAGCTTTTAAAAATTCACCTACCAAACAAATACAAAAGTGACAATATAATTTTTACAGTGATCTTCTTAAAATTGACTTTGGATTTGAATGAAATTTGGCACAGAGATAGATTATAGTCTGGAATAACACAGCTACTTTTTATCCAGGAAAAATTTACTGTTTCCGTGGCACATTGTTTTTGTTTTCCTTCTTCCTTTTTGTTTTTCCTTTCCATATTTTAATCAATTATTAACATAAACATTTCTAATTTCCAGATCTCTTCCTCTAAATGAAATATCGTCGCGCGGACACGATCGAACACCAACCGATCGACATAGGGGGTTCCCCGGCGACCGAGAAACGAGAGAGTATCGACGTGAGCGGGATAGGGATAGAGATAGGGATTTTGACTTTGATGGTAAGTTATTGATTATTAAAATACTTTTTTTATATATGTTTGTCATTGTATAATACTGTTGTTTATTGGAAATAATGTTACGTACCTAATACCAAGATATAAAGAATACATGTAACGGGAATCATAAAATATCCTCTAAATATAACTATCTATTCGGATTTTGGTTTCCGACGCTTCAGGGATGCTTCGAATGCTTTACTATATGATATCGAATGCTATACGTATATGACTAAAATAATATTTTTAAAAACTTAATATTTTTTAATACAATTCCAGGGTCACCATTGAGCCCTATAGCACCAAAAACCGGTGAAAAAGATCGTCCTGTGCGCAAATCTGGGTCTGCGCAACGCGTTTCGGAAATGATATCTGTGGACAAAAGGAAATTTTTCTGCAGGGAATGGGTGTTCCAAAAAATAGCACACTGTTTGGAACAGAGGGCAGTCAGTAAAACCGCTGGAGCGTTGATACTTGGTAAGTTTTGGAAGATATAGAAGAATTTGTTCTAGAAGGATTATGTAATGTTGGTAATGTAAGAGTAATTATTACCCGACTTCTCGATGCAAAGGAGTGTAATGTGTTTATCAGTCTATCTATGTATGTATGATGTTTGTTTGTTTGTTCCTAATGTGGCATTCTAGAGACCAAACGCGTGGGCCAATTTTGATGATTTATGAATCGTCTTTAGATTCGTCTTGATAACGTGAGTGTTATAGGCATAATACTATATTCCTTCGTCTACTTGTTTTTATCTTTTACGTTAGCTTTTATGCTGTCGGGTTTTTATTTTTATAATATATTTTTTAAGGGTAGGTGTTACCCCGAAATTCGTTTGCTCCTATTCATATTATGTCAAAATCAAAAAGCTAAGCTAAGATATATAACTTTTTTTCATAATCATTTTTAGGTGACGCAGGCAGTGGGAAGACAGCACTATGTCAAGAACTAAGTCAACCAGGCAGCGGGCCTCAAGCGAGGCAGCAGCGAGCGCTGAACAGGCGGTTGTTGGCAAGGCATTTCTTACAGGTATGTAGGTTCGATTCTCTTTGGCTTACACAAAAATTTAATGTTTTAAGGTCCTTTCTTGGTTTTTTGATATATGAAATGTAGTAATAAGACTACACTTGGTTTCCCTGTTATTATTCTGGTATAGTTATTAGTTTGTAATTTTCTCTCGCATTTGGGGGAACCGTGCCCAGCGGTGGGACGTTAAAAATGTTAAATAATTATTTTTTGGGTATATTATATATAATTAAATATTGCTTTACGGATACAGTTCCGTTCGCGTTACAAACTTTCGTATATATCATATTGGTTTTTATCATTCCCAGGGTCCAGGGGAGACCAGCCAGCGTCCAGGAGAGTTCATCAGGTCTCTGGCGATGCAAATCTTAAGCCATTCTTCTCACGCGAAGCCCGAAAGAGAACAATCTCCCGATGGCACGCCTAATAGCAATAGGTAGGGGATTTGTTTAATGGTCATGGAAGTAAATTTTTAAAGTTTTTAATAATGTCTTCCTGAATCATTCATTTTTCCGATATTGTAGTCATCCATTACTCAGATACTCTTGGCCATACTCGGTATTCGAACCCAAGAATTCGCGATCTGCGACTGTACTTGATAGCCACTAGACCAACGACAGTCACGTAGTAAATAATCTTAATATGAAATCAGCATCTAACTCATCAAAAAGAAACAAACATATAAAATACACCCGAATTGAGTACCTCCTCTTTTTTAAATCGGTTACGAAAATATAGTTATGTAACAATATTATGTATAATATGTAACAATATAGACATTGTTTCAGAAGAAATTCGAACACAGAAGAGAATCTAATACAGCGTTTCAAAGATATGGGGGACGATGGGGAAGAGAGTTCGAAGCCACTATTGGCCGACAGTGAAGGTATAGTGACGTTATAATTTTTTTTTTCAATTACCGAGCCTCGCACCTCTGATATTTTCATATATGAATCATTTCCAAAATGATAATCATTTGTTTTGCGGCGAAGGGAAACATCGTAAGGAAATCTGCATTTCTGATCTAGACATGTGAAGTCCTCCAACCCGCACTTGGCCAGCGTGGTGGACTATGCCCTGATCCTCCTCGTATTGAAGGGAGACCCGTGCCCAGAAGTGGGACGTTAAAAAGGGCTGAATACATAATTTTAATCATTTACATTTTTGGACAACGCTTTGTTTTATTTAATATGTAATGCCAGATCTACACGATTGTCAAGTTTCGAGAAGCCATCACAAAATAAAACCTTTTTTAGATTTAGGCGAATATTTGACATTTTAAATAAAACTAATCTTTTCGGATGGTTTTCATGGATTTATTTTGAGTTCCCGACGTTTCGAATGCTTTACAGACAACACAATCAGCGACAAAAAATGTCTTCATCGAATGAGCGCTCATTTGAACATTGGGGCGCACTTTTATTTTTTTTGTGAAAAAAACTTTAAGCATTGCATTTAAGGTTCAATTTACATTGTTATATATTTATTTCAACTAGAATAATTACATAAACACAATTGGTGACACTTTTAAGAGAACTTTTGCATGGGATTGTGTTTCTAGTACTTTTTTGATCGATGAATTGAACTATTATTCTACAGGAACGTATTATTAATTAAAAAAAACTGTATGTTGGTTCAGGATATAGCCTAGCTTTGTTTTAAGTTTCATTTAAATTCGTTGAACCGTTTACGCTTGAGTAAGTTTTGTTTTGAAGTTTACTAATTTATTCTAATGACTGCAACAAGCAGTCAGCTTTTTGTCCACGATACTTGATCAGCGTGCTGGATTATGGTTTATCTCAATCTCTAATATTGTGGGAGGCCCACCCCCAGCAGTGGGACTTTGAAAAGGGCGGAATACTAATGAATGTATGTCTGTTTCCGCAGACCAGCGCACCGACGAGGAGGACGCGAGCGCGCGCGCGCAGCGCCCGGCCGACGCTCGGGACGCGCCGCTCAGTGCCCAGGATGTAAGGAAATAACGCTTTGTTGGGCTTGAATTAATTTTTAACACGCTTTGATTAACTTCATCTATCTGTGTATCTATATTTATGTATCTATCTTCCTATTTATCTATCTATCTGTCTATGAAACGAAATCTGGCACATTTAACAAGGACTGTAAATAATGTTTTTATATATATATATATATATATATATATATATATATATATATATATATATATATATATATATATATATATATACACACACATATATATACATATATATTACTAATAACCTTTTATTACTAAAATAACTATGGTATGTAAATTAATCATCAGTCATTTACTTACTTTATTTTTCTATTGGTGAAAATCTGTCAAGTAGTTTCTGAGATTAGATCAAACAAACACAGTCGTCTTTTTTCTCCGAATCCTTAAATTATAACATATACTTCAAGAATTTGTTTATTTTAAAACAGGTGCCAGAAATCTTGCCGAGATCGAGCGTGAAACCAACTAACCCGTTTGTAACCGAAGCATGTGAAGACCAAAACGAGTTTCGTCTGTACGAAAACCACGAAAACCTCTTCCTCCGCAACATATCTCAGCGACAGTCTAAAGAAATGCGCAACTCAAGACTTCTAAGACAAAGTTCCGAACCTCTGTCCGAGAAAAAACCATCTGTGTTACAGAAAAGTCTCTCAACTGAAGCGAAAGAGGAGGAAAAAGCGAAAGAAATAAGCAATAGCCCACCAAAATCGAGGATACCAATAGCCAATTTTCGATATCCCAACAAAAGTGACTTAAAACCCACCTCGGCTGAGAGCTCCCCGAAGAAATCTGAGACACCCCCAAATAAAGAAGAATTGCCAGAATACACCAATATAGTGAACGTCCCTCAAGATGATATACAGACTGATATAGAGAAGTTGTTAGAGAAGAAAAGGTCAGAAATAGAAGATGTACCACCACCTATACCAAGTTTACCAGTAAATCCAAGAACTTTGATAGCTAATGCGTATTATGAGAAATTATTGTCTGAAACGGAGATCCAACAGTCTCTTTTACCGCAGAATTTGGATAAGAATCCTGATGAATGTTTTAAGAAGGCCATTTTGTTTCCATTGTTGGAGATCGATCCGCCGAAACAGTGTTTGTTTTTGATGGTCGATGCGATTGATGAAGGGGCAACGACAGGTGAGTTGTATATTTACACTAATATTATATAGAGGAAGTATTTGTATTTTTGTATGTTTGTAATGAATTAACTCAAAAACTAATGGACCGATTTAGACGAAATTTGTTAAGAAGATAGTTTGAGACCCTGGAAAGGACATAGGATATTTTTTATTCCGGAAATCATCCCTTAAATGGGTGAAAATGGGGATGAAAGTTTGTACGGAGAATCAACCTAGAGACGAACCCGAGCGAAGCGAGAGTGAGTCGCTAGTTTGGACTTTGGTATATTTTATTTTCTTTTGTCAGTTATTTTGGACTGCTACTAGTATATATATTTACTTACAGACCCAGACATTTATAAAATAAATTATAAGAAATAGATGTACAATATTCGTTGCTTTTCTTGGAAGATACTGTCTAACAACTGTATAATAAAATTTAAAATATCTATGTTCTTAGTCTGTCCTATGAACATGATTGCTGTAAAGCATTCAAAACCTCTGGAAACAAAAATCTATTTATATAATAAAACAGTAACTAGCGAAATCTATACATGATTTTTTTTTATAAAAACTATTACTGAACGTATTGTGTACAGAATACAAACCACCAAACAATACTTATTTAAAAAAAATCCTGTTTGTACAAAATAAAATTGGGATTAGTTATATTAGACTCGGAAGAAAATTTGTCTTATTTATTCTTTGATCGTAGAAAATTGTACATCTACGTATACATATGTACGTCCGTTTTTGGACACATCATTAGTTGGTGTTACACTTGAAGAACAGGATTATTATCTAGGACTTATCTCTAGAAGAGATAAATATCAACTCGATATTTATCCGTTCTAAAGATAAGTCCATATTTGCTAATTATGTTATTGTTTGTTAATTTCTGTATTTTACATATAAGTGTAATAAAGAATGGTATACATAATATGTGTGTATGTACGTGTGCGTGTGCGCAGAGGGCGACGAGGGCTCTGTGGCGGCGCTGCTGGCGCGCCACCAGCACCTGCTGCCGCACTGGCTGCTGCTGCTGGCCACCGCGCGCCGCCACGCGCGGCACACCGCGCGGATGTTCACGGGTGAGCGGGGAAGGGGGAGGGGGGCGATAATATTAAAGAGATCAAACCTGTTACCTATGAGTGTTCTATCAGAAAGCCACATACTATGTAATGAATTTTTACCAGCGCTTATGAACTGTCAGTTTATTTTGAATAGAATTGAATTAAAAAAGACCCAAACATTTATATAAATAAAAAAATAAGTAATCAAAAGATTACTTATTTTTTTAACTATCTATAATTATAATATATAGAATTTATACTAAATGTATTGAATTCGTCTGAACAATAGTAAAAATGACAGTCTATCTGTTTCAATGCCAGCTGATTTCGACGGCTACACTAATTTTAATTGGACTTTTATTGATAGATGAAAAATCAATAAAGAAAAAAAAGATGAAATTTAAAAAAGTAGAAAAACAATTTTTATATTTTTTATAAAAGTACTCTGAGTTTTTTTGCACAATTAGTAATTAGTAATAATGATATGTTTCGTAGGATTCCGCAAAATAATCCTGGACGAACTGCAGCGCGCGCACGTGTCTGCCGACGTGCAGCGCTACGTGCTCGCGCGCCTCGACACCGAGCCGCGCCTCAGGTTAGTGCTATGGGATATCTATGGCTGTTTATGGTTTGGTCTATGGTTTTCAATCTAATTGTATACCATATTATGGCTGCAAATGCGAAGGTCCTGGATTCTTTTTCTGGAACATTATTCATTCATTCTAACACAGGATTGGCTTATTGTTTATAAACAGATTGCTATGTAACAGACTCCAAAGAAAAAAAAATAGCTAGTGGGTTTTTTCTGTAATAAAATTCTCGGTAGCATTCCACAGATAAAAAGTTGTCGATGTGACACCAAAGTTAAAGTTTCCCACGGGATACGATTTTTCAATTTTATTTAAAATTAATGCCTTACCATCACTTAGCTCGCGTGCGTCTCTAAGTACGTGCACATAGCGTTGCTACAATTTAATAAATCTTTTGAAGAGCAATAGTTCAGTAATATATTGTTTTTATGTAACAATCGGTTTTCGCAGCGCACGCCAGTAAAGCCCCCAGTCGGCATGATTTGTTCCAACATCTTCAACCATCGTCATATTTCAGTCAATTTACAAAAAACATAATGAATTATACATATAAACCTTCCTCATGACTCACTCTATATTGGCGAAAACCGTAAGAAAATCCGTTCGGTAGTTTTTGAGTTTATCGCGTTCAGACAGACAAACAGACAGGCGCGATGGGAGAACTTTATTTTATAATATGTAGTGATGTCAAACATTCGGGTAAATGTAAGAAATGGTTCCCAGGGCTCGGGTGTCGAGCGACTCCACGGCGGCGGCGGCGGCGGCGGCCGCGCTCGACCATCTCAGGATAAAGAGCGACGGCTGCTTGCTTTACTTGGAGAAGGTATCTATTTCATTAAGGGAAATACCTAACATCGGGCTATTGTTGTAAATGCGAGTGTGTGTGTGCGTGTTTGCGTGCTATGACGGATTTAGTCATCTATAATTTAATATAATATTTATATATGTTGGGACATTAACACACGGCACCATCTAGTTCCATGGTAAGCTACGAGGCTTGTGTTATGGATACCAGGTAGTTGATACACTACACATATTATATAACATTAAATATATCAATATTATAAATATAAACACCCATGACTGGAGTAAAGACATTCGTGCTCATCACACAAATGAATACCCCAGGGGGATTCGAACCCGCGACCTCTGGCACAGCAAGTATATAAAGAAGAAAATATAAAGAAGGCATAAATTAACATATAGACTATTGTTAGGTACTTATACACACTGACTTACGTTATACATAATATTATATATAACGTCCAAATCAAAGGAACAAAACCTAAACATGTGTATTACATATGTTTAGATTTTGTCCTTTGATATTCTAGTCAATCTATCTACCATCTAAATCCATCTCGTTGTTTCAAATAACAAACATACAAACAAAATTTAGCTTTTATTAGTAGTGTGATAAAATCCAATTTTGTATATATAACATTTATTTATCTTTATAGGTGTTGGACGGTGTCGCCGACGGGTTTATAGCGTTGCGGGAGATTCGGGAAATCCCCGGGACTTTGAATGGACTGTACCTTTGGTTGGCGCAGAGATTGTTTCACGGCAGACGGTTTAATAAGGTGAGATAAAAAATAATTGTATTTCTTAATATTTCTAGGGGATATTGTACTCGTAACTGTTGGCTTGAATATAAAAGTCACTTATATTTAAAACAGCATTTATTTAAAAAATTCAGCAATATAGCTTTAAATAATTGTTAATACCTGCTAAATGACTGTGACATACGAACAGGCGGTTCAGATTTTGCCTTTTGGCTATGGAACCCTAAAAAGGTATTTAAAATGATATTATTCCAATTTTCACCCTTATACATGAAATTTTTGGCGGAAAAATATGAAAATCATTTTACAATTGGTGGAGATATCGCGTAACACCCATCATGGATTTAAATTTAAAGTTTTGAATAAAACTATTTTAATATGAAAAATCTGAAAAAACAGTTTTATACATATATAATTTCAAATATTCGAGTAAATCTAAGATTTTTTTTGGAGTTAGCCAAAAATTGTATCAACCAAATAAATGGTCTTCTCCCATCAGGTGCGTCTACTGCTAGACGTTCTTCTGGCAGCGCGCTGCGGTGTGACAGAGGACATGCTGTACAAGTGCCTCCTCACCAAGGAGTACAGTGTCACGCGGGAGGACTTCAACCGTCGCCTGCATTTGTTGAGGCGGTTAGTTTTGTTTGATAATTAAGTTATAATTGTTTTTTTTTTTTAATTAAAAAGGTATATTAACTTTCTTCTTTAGGGGTGGAATTTCTTCTTGTAATTTGTATAGGGATTTTTGTAATTAGTAGTGTTATGTAGGTTTCGCCCTGCAGGGTGAAAATTTTTCTTATACTTGTTATTCGAGTATCTTTAATGTATATCCTAGTATTGGAAAAGAAATCATGTAAGGGTAGGTACCTACCCCTTTTTAAGGAGCATTTTGATATTGATTTATATTAAGGGATAAATGGTTGTAAGTTAAATGTATTATATTATTAGTTTGAAAGTAATTATTTTGATAAAGAAAAATGATATAAATGATCAATCAGTTTGGGTACCTAAAGTCCATTCAAATCCTACGATCATTCTCTTTATGATTGGTGAACAAACTTCTCACTATAATCACGTCTAGCGATTTAAAATCATTCCGAAGGTATTCTTTTTTTCCGGCTAAAAAGCCAGTACTATCGACTAAAACCAAACAGAAACCTCCCCCGTCGTAACGGGACGTTGCAGGGGCATTGACCGTAGCACTTAACCCCCCTCCTCCCTCAGTCCCCACGCGTGTGTGAGGGGGAGGGGGGGGGGTCGAGCAGACGAGCAGTCCCGGCCGACACCACGACTGACCACGCCTGTCCGCAGCATCCTGGTGCTGGAGCGCCGCAGCCGCTACGTGAGCCTGTTCCACCCGTCGTTCGCGGCGTGGCTGCTGGACGTGAAGCACTGCACGCGGCGCTACCTGTGCGCGCCGCGCGACGGACACGCCGCGCTCGCCATGTACTACACGCTCGACGCCAGGAGGTACGCTTATCTTATGTCGACATTTTGTTGAAACTTATTTTTACACTGATATTTTGTTATTTAAATGTTAGAGTTATTTCATTTCTTATTTTTTTTTTAACATAAGTGAGCAACATCCTTATTCTTAGTTCAACAATTATTATTTGCATGTCAAGTTAAAATATACACACGTACGTACGCACACATATTTACACGCACGTACGCAAGGAGTATATGTACATTGTACACATAGCCGTTATGATAATATAATTGATAACTATAATTCGGTAAGTTCATTATCAGACACTCGACTGCCTAAATATAGTGACTTTGCTATATGTGTATGTATTTTATTAACTCGTCGGTCTATTGGTTGGGATGAGCAAGCACTGAGGTGAAGATTAGTTAATTAAAAACGTGTTTTTTTTATAATACTTTCTTAAATTTACGCAAATATTTGACATTTTAAATAAAATTATCTTTTCGGATTATTTCGCAGATTTATTTAGATTTTTTTGGTTCCCGACGTTTCGAATGCTTTACAGCATTCATGGTCACGGGAGACGTCTATAATCTTAGTTATATATAGACGTCTCAAACACACATACTTATTACAGACAGTGCCTACCCACTATTTTACAAAAATTATTTTAAAAATTCAAAAATAGCACTAAAGTACCTTACAATATTTGTTGATTTTTATTTGTAAACATTTAGAAGAAATTAATAAGTATTCTAATAAAATATAGCAATATTATTTATTTAATTTTTAGCTGTTATTATTATAAATATTACAGTTTTTTAAAAACATAAAAACTTTTTGAAACCATTTTTATAAAATAGTGACTAGGCACTGTCAGTAACAAGTATGTGTTTGAGACGTCTATAAGCTCAGTCTCTCCCGTAACTGCGATCGCTGTAAAGCATTCGAAACGTCGGGAACCAAAAATCTACATAAATCCGCGAAATAATCCGAAAAGATAGTGTTATTTAAAACGATTTTTTTATTATAAAAAAATATTAATAACTTTTATTTTACTATATTATCTGTAATATTATTTCAGATTGACAGCTCTAGAAATTCACAATTACGTATATCATATGACTCAGTTGGAACAACATTTGGCTGCGCAAAAGAAAATCAAATCGGGGTGAGTTACATTATACATATTTTCAAATTTAATATTAACATTTAAATAAATTAAATAAGGCAGTGGTAGTCCAAAGGTGACGCGCTCGCTTGGGAATCCGAGTGGAGCTAGTTCAAATCCCGGGAGAGACTCACCCGTGACCATGATTGCTGTAAAGCATTCGAAACGTCGGGAACCAAAAATCAAAATAAATTCGCGAAAAAATCCGAAAAGATAGTTTTATTTAGAACAATAAAAAATTCCAATTTATAATAATATTTTTTTCTATTACAGAGATGAGGAAGAACAAGTAGACCTACACACGCTGATTCTACTGTGGGTGTTAGACTCCGGCTGCGACGTGGAGGCCGCCTTGAAGAGGGAGACTGAGATAAAAACTATCGATATTGATAACACGCAGGTACTTTAGGCGGTTAATTTTTAATTATTGAAGAGAAACTTCTTTAGAATAGATGTGATTTCAAAACACGATGAAATGAAAATGCGACACGAGAAAGAGACAAACACATAAATATATAGGATTAAGCCGGCGAGAGAATGAGATTGAACACATTACACAGGAAGTAAAAATGATACTGAATAATATTTAATGAATATTTATGTCAAAAAAATGTAAAATAACTTTTAAACTTGGTATAAAAAAAATCTTACTATCATTCTACTCCTGATACTCTATATATGTTCATCTCATTCTCTCGCAGGTTATTTTTCTGAAGTTTCACTTTTACCGTGTGTGAATTGCACATACGCACACTTTTTTTTAATTAATAAGTTCATACTAAAATTTACTTCCCTTAAATATTTTTCAATTTTCTTAAAACACACTCCGACACAAAAGTCTGGCGACTATAACACTTTCTATTGTTGGTAACACTGGGATGCATGAAATTTTACTAATAAATTGCCGTGTTACATAAATCTTTTTGATACATTCTTAAATTTACGCGAATACTTCACATTTTAAATAAAACTATCTTTTCGGATGTTTTTCGCGGATTTATTTCGATGTTTGGACTTTGGTTGCCGACGTTTCGAATGCTTCACAAGCGCACATGGTCACGGGAGAGACTAATGCTTTAGACGAATCATAGGCATTATATAGTAGTTATAGACAGTGCTTACAGACAAAATTACAAAATGATTACAAAAAATCGAAAAGTCGGGAACCAAAAATCAATATAATTCCGCGAAAAGATCCGAAAAGATAGTTTTATATAACATTTGCAAAATTTATTTCAGAGTGAGGATAGTAAATTTGATCAAGAGAAGGACATCGACCCTGAATCGGAAGGGAAGGAATCAATTTCTTGTAAATCACGTGAGTATTTTATATTAATAGATACCTTTCTTATTTATAATTATATACATAATATTATACACAATAGAGTTCTGAACTCAGATTTAATTGAAAGTATCTACTCCTTAAATCCTAGGAACAAGGTCCACAATATATTTTACATACCTAGTGTGGGATCTAAACTGGGTAGCTAAGTGTCTGTTTTATGTCATCATCACCATCTCCCTGCCCATTTCGCAATCACTCGGGGTCGGCGCAGTACATCTTCTGTACTGCTGATAGGATTTAGTAAAAGTTTTACGACCGGCCGCCTCACGCCTGACATCTACCCTCCTTGGAAATATTAGAAAAAATCTGTTATTCGTATATGTGCTTTAGCACATAAAAACAAAAACAAATAATATTATATTTTTATAATATTTTTTTAGAAATCGATTCCACGCATTGACATTTTTCTTCTTTTAGACGTAATCTAATAGATTATTTCAAAAAATATAACAATTTAATTTGACATTGTAACTAATTTTTAACTTTTATTACTTTTTATCTATTGTCTACAGTGAACGCTATGTTTTTTATAGGATTTTCCGACTTAATTCACCAATATCGTCTTACTGGTAGCTTATTTTCGTGAAATATTCATAAATTATAACCTACGAATATCCTAGACAATTCCTCTTTGTAACCGTGAAAACCGTATGAAAATCAGTTTAGCAGTTTCTAAAATTAGTTTGGACAAACACAAACTGAGCAGCAGCAAGGACTTTTATAATATGTAATAGTATAAATCTGAAACTACCGCGCTGTTATAGTGGCTAGCATGTACGGCACATCCGAAGGGCGTGGGTTCGAGTCCCGGGTCGGGCCAAGTTTGGTTATTGAGTCTTTCTGTTGAGAAATTCTCAGTCCCTACAAAAAGTAAAATGAAATTTCATTTGAAATTTAAAATGATTCCATTTTTAAGGGGTTGTCGTTTTTTATAACTTGTATATAATTATGTAAAAAAAATGTATCATCTTTGGGAATATTTTTGTATTGAGTCGGCCGACATTGGTAAATCCCTTTGAGATAAAAAATGTTATTTTTAAACAATTTTTCATACAACATTTGTATGTAGGGTAATTTTAGACGAACAGAAAAACCTGTATACAGTTTATTATTAATTTTCCTCGTACAAAGTTTCCGCATCACTATTTATTTATATTAAATTCCTTGAACTGTTTCTATTCTTACGTAAATGTATTATGATACGAGTATATAAAGAAAACGAGTTACATTAAACAGAAACGGCTCTAACGATTTTGAGCAAATTTTGTATTTAGATAAGGTTTCGTTTTTTAAGTTTATCTATTTAGGTATATTTTCTGAAAAAACGACTTAATTTTTCACAAAACAAAGAAAAATCATTTTTTTATAACGAAACTCGGCCACTCAGGTACTAATTGTAAAGTAACATTAGTGGCGCCAAAGATGTCATAAAAATTAGTAATTTGATAAGAAATGTTTGTTATCACTGATTATTTATGTATTTTTCGGAATTTCTAACATATTATACATATTATTACTAAAAATAGTGATCTCATCTACAAGTTCTTACTATTTAGACTAGAAAGTGACAAAGGGTAGCTTTTATTTCGGTTCATTAATTGAATTCCTTGGGATGTATGGTGGCTTGGTAAAAGGTTATAAACATGGGGATAGGAAATAATAATGTCCTCCCGATCGATTTCGGTCACGGCGGCCAATCTCATTGAGACTAGCCAACTGCGCAGGAGATATTATAGTGCACGCACATGTGCGCTCTCTATTCCTGTCACTCTCATACTCCGTTGGGACGACACGAGACACGACCGGTGAGAGTGTCGGCGCAGGACTGAAGCAACACGTGATAACCCAAATTCCCAACTCCGGGCTGTTACTGAGGCTTACTGTATAGTAAGCCAGAAAGACTTAATAACTAAACTTGGCCCGATCCGGGACTCAAACCTAGGACCTCCGGGTGTGTAGCCGTACATGCTAGCCACTACACCACCAAGGCAATTGGGATTGGAATTATATATCACGGATAGAAACAGTGCCTCTAAAACCGTATCTCGTATAAGCAATCTTTTAAACTATTATAACACAACGGATGTTTACTTACGATTACCTAAAGATTTTCGGTATACAAAATATTTTATCTAGAGTCTTCAATCAATAATTAAGTGTAGATCAATCTACTACTACCGCGAATATTTGACATCTTACTAATATTAAAATGTGATTTTGTAGGTATTTGGATATATTTTTTATTTAATGCTGTTTGTTAGACGAGAGAAAGGTCTATCGAAGTCTATCTACATTTATATTTAAACGTGGTAGTATTGCTAGTGCACGTTCATAAAATGAATAAATAAAATTTACGGGAATCGAAGCCGCTATCACCAAAAGTGACCAAATAATTAATTAGGGTCTGCTTTTTTTTCAATAAATCAGGTCAAAGTTTCACGTTTTATTTCCAATTACAGCTAATTGTTTATCACATCATGTATATTTGTGTTTTTCTAATGTGAACCCTATTTCGTAAGCAATAAGGTCGATTTTGTCGAAAATAGATTAGGATATGTCATAGGAAATAAACTCCTAAAGCATTTAGTCGTGAGTGATAATAAGGAAAAGACGTGTTATAAATATTATGATATTATATTTTTTAAGTGTAAATACTTCAAAATTAATATTGTGCTTATTAAATTAAATAATATAATATAAATTAAAAAAATAATTGTGCAATTTGAAAAAGTTTAGAAATATTACTTGTTTGTATTAAAATGTGTGATTTTAGTGTTAATAGTAAAAAATTCACGTTTTCGGATGTGTTCAATATTTGTGATTTTATATGTAGGTATTTTTTTTAAATATTTTTTTTATTAATAAAAAAGAAACAAAAAAAAAGACCGGATTACTTTGCACAATTCTTTGTTAAAAAATAGTTATTTAATTCTAAATAGGATTTGCCTATACAATATTATATTATAATATATATTTTTTTTAATTTATCAAACTGTGATACTTTAATTGACATAACATTTTTATTAATATATAACCGATTAAAATAAAACTAATACTAAATAGGGCGTTTGTTTGTATAGTGTCCATACATATGCTATGAACTTTTATCTCAATGATATATATTTCCATACTTAACCAAACTCGGCTTTATAATGTCGGCATAGAGTTCCCGATTTTCACAGAAATATAAACATTTTACACTAACGATAATCGAACCCACACTATGCTCTAGCCAAATCTAATCATTTTCCTTTGTTCCCAGTCGAACAGTCAACATTAGAGAACATAATGCCTGAACTAGTCAACGGCAACTCATTGCACTGGCCGAGAGATAGACGAGTGTTGCGAGCTCTATTGGAGCTGAGCAGGACCGACTCGATGCCCACTGAGCCTGAGGAGGATTTGAACGATTTGGTAAGTAATATCACAGTTTTTTAACAGATATAGTCGTCTAAAGGAAGGCGTCGAAGAGTGCGGGGAGTTATTTGAACGTTTTTATGGGATATTTGGGAGTGGGAAATCCTATATGTTTGATAACTGTAGCTTGTCACGAGATTGTACTTAATTTTTTAACACTTCTTGCACAATGCAAATTGCATGTCGCGGAATTGCCCTTGAGATCAAAGGAGATAGTGTATAGATTTTATTAGTCTCAATGGACTTCTTGTATCTTTCAACTTTTTATATAAAGCGAAAATGAAAAATTACAATTTTTAATATTTTTGTATTATTTAAAAGAGTCTAAAGGTTACCACATCATTCACAAAATGTTTTATTTTCTAGAAAGTTCTTTATTGTCCTTTAACATTTGAACGTCTTTAAGATTTTTTTTTGAAATCTAACAATAGTGTTTTGAATGTTTAAACGTTTTTGAATGTTTATGTGTATATAATATTTCTTTTAACTTTCTCCAGCTATCAACAGACCAAGCAATAGGGAGTGATAACAACGACGGCACAGGGGATGAAAATGACGACCCTCTGCTAATAGACCCCAGCACCATACACGAGCTGGCCAGCCGGGGAGATGATGAAACTCTGGCTGCTTTATTGAAGGTGAGGTTTATTATATATTTATTATATTTTTTTGGAATTGGAAGTGGAGTAGGTTAAAAATGTACAAAAGTAATTAATAAAAATAAAGATAATTAAGACTACCGTTTTACAATTAAATGATCATATTTTATTTGAAATTAATTGACGATATTATAAGAATATTTAACAATTCAAAATTACAACTTTCAAAGAGAGCCAGCTTAGAAAAATAACAAGCATAATACTAGTATCAATAAATTAGATAAAAATTAACAGGAGTACTAACCATCAAGAAACAGCCTCACTCACCGGTTCAGAAGTCTTGAGCAAAATGCTTAATTGATATAAAGGCTTATATATGTATGTATTTGATTTGATGAGTGTGTTTCGAAAAAAACTATATATCGTGTTCCGTTTTATATATATATATATATATATATATATATATATATATATATATACTAGCATCGTACATGTATTTGTTGGTGAGTGTGTTTGTTGGAAATAAAGATCATTGTAAGCTGTTAATACATTTTTTTCTTTTTTTAATGTTTGGAAATATTCCATGAAGTTCGATTATTATTTTTGTTGTAACCCAATAACATGTCGCTATTTACCAAACCGATGTTGAAGCGGCGGCCGGAGCTGGCTGCGGCGACGGACGCGGCGGGCGGCACGGCGCTGCACGCGGCGGCGCGCGCCGGCCGCGCCGGCGCCGCCGCGCTGCTGCTGCGCGCCGGCGCGCGCGCCGTGCCCGACGCCGACGGCTGGAGCCCGCTGCGCGCCGCGGCCTGGGCGGGACACGTCGAGGTCGGTGCTTACAGTTTTATCATAGGGGAACCCGATTACTTTCATTGATATTTTTTTTTTTTTATTAGAAATGGGCTCACTCTTGACCTTTATCTTAGCTCGAAGGCACAGATAAGGTCTACGATCTAGCGAGTTTGCCCAGGAGAAGCCTGTTAACACGCACCTTAAATAGGTTTAGGTTATATAATTTTATAAACTTTTTTTGCTATGTTTACATTTTCATGGAGAATGCATTCGTTCAGCAGAAAACGACAATTGGCTAATGTTTGAAATAAAATTGAAAAGGACGCCTTTTTCAATTTTTAATTTTGGGTCGGGGGATTTAAGTAATAGCATAAATTTATATATTTTTCTTAAAACATTTATTGTAAGATATTTAAACATAATCCCTACACGAGCGCCGACACGCCGGCGGTTAGTCAGTTAACAATGGATTTCTTAAAATTTTAATTAATTTCTTAGAAATTTACCTGGAAGTGTTAATATAATTTGTCTTTAGATGATGGTGCTTAAAATGATTAAAATTGTCGACGACACGTTTGGCTCAGTATATAGTGACCCTACTTGCTGTACCAGCGGTCGCGGATTAGAGTCCTGCTGGAGACATTCGTTTGTGTGATAAGCACGAATGTTTGTATCGAAAGTCATGGGTGTTTATATTTATAATATGTATGTATTTAAAATTACATATGTGTAGTGTATCAACTAACTGGTATCCATAACACAAGCCTCGTAGCTTACCATGGAACTAGATGGTGCTGTGTGTTAATGACACAACATATTTATCTATTTTATTTATTTATGTGCAGGTAGTGGACGTCCTGTTAGAGCACGGCTGTGACGTGGACTGTGTCGATGCTGACAATCGCACTGCACTAAGGTATGTTAATGAAATATGTTGATAAAGCTGTTATGTTTATGTTAATATAAAGCTAGAATCAATGATTTCTTTGACTATTTTTGATTATATTTGCTGTAAAGCATTCGAAAATGCGAAAATAGCCGAAAATTTTTTTTATTTTAAAGTTCAAATGTTTGTGTAAATTTCGATTTAATTTTCATGTTAATGGTTTCAAAATGTGCGAATTTAGCGCAGATTACTTCGCTAATGTCACGTAGAATGGAGAAGAACGTGTCTAAGAAGGTGTTGGTTGTCAAAAATATTGACAACCATTGCATTTGGGGGCTTAGACTGTGATTTGATATAGCTCTATTGCTCTGTTTTGGCTTAACGTTGTGGCTGACTTACATTAATTATAAAACATTAAATAATTATTATTTAACATAATCTATACACAACAATTTTAGACAATATATACAAATAAATTCACACACTTTACACACACCCTACATAATAGAAAATAAATAATATTAAATAAATAATAAATAAAATACGCATAATATACGCAGAAGCCTTGAACTTGAGCCTCGCGGACAGCTGATCGAGGTGACGCAATGCTCATCTTTCCTCCCGCGCACCGCACCTCGGTGTTTACCATTAGCGGCGCCCGCGCATTAGCAGACGATCTTTTTAAGTTAATTAAAAGTTTTAACTCCAATCAGTCGCAATCCGCACGCTAGACGAGAGACTCGTACCGCTCGCTTACTCGCCATTCTTAGCTTACGTACTTAATCATATAAGCTTCGTAATTTTATGTATTTTACTTTTACTATCTTTGTGCTTTTGTTCTTTCTACCGTGTAAACTGTTTGAACTATCTTTCCGCTTTGCTCTTTCTCCTTCTATCTTTTGTGGGTGTAAAAATTGTGTATTAAGGGCTGTGAATTGTACATAGACTTTTATTAAGTTCTCGCCAAAAAAATACGCCAACTCAACACACAACCAACAACCCCCACAACGTGTTCAGGGTGGCAGTGTAGTCGAGTCCTTTCTCTCCCTTTCTCTTTGTCTCTTTCTCTCTCTCTGTCTCTTTCCCGAGATCTGTCTCCGCCTCTCTTACTCTGTGTTGACAACTCGTGTGGTGGTGCAGGGCGGCGGCGTGGTCGGGGCACGAGGCGGTGGTGGCGCGGCTGCTGGCGGGCGGCGCGCGCGCGGAGCTGGCCGACGCGGAGGGCCGCACGCCGCTCATGGCGGCCGCCTACATGGGCCACGTGGACATCGTGCGGCTGCTGCTCGACGCCGGCGCCGAGGTGGACCACGCGGACCATGACGGTCAGTGCTCCGCCGTGATAGGACACGGACCGCGTGCACCTTTTGTTATACAAAGTGAAATGTTACAAGATGTGTAATAGATTTCATCAATATCGGTTCAGACGTTTAGTTTTTTGTGTTGATTTTTTTATTGAAATATTATTTGTTAATTTTTTTGTATGTGTATGTCAGGTCGCACGGCGCTGGCGGTGGCGGCGCTGTGCGGCGCGGGCGGCGCGTGCGCGGCGCTGCTGCTGGAGCGCGGCGCCGACGTCAACAAGGCCGACAGGGACAAGGCCACGCCCTTGCTCGTCGCCGCTTTCGAGGGACACACGTGAGTTTATATGGAATGTTTGTGTCCGTTTGTGTGTTTGGAGATAAGGGATTATAGAATTTATTTGAGTTAAAAGTGGTTTCCTAATAAATCATTTATTACCTGAAGTTCTTGTTTGAGACTAACGGTTTACTCTCGTTTCGAGAATGAAAGATTTTCCCGCAGTAAAATGTAATTTAAAAGTGTACCCGAAAAATAAGTGACCACTACACAAAAGTGAGTGTGGGTGTGCCCGCAGGGAGATCTGCGAGGTGCTGCTGGAGGCGGAGGCGGACACGGAGGCGGCGGACGCGGCGGGGCGCACGGCGCTGTGGGCCGCGGCCGCCGCCGGCCACGCCGCCGCTGCGCGCCTGTTGCTCTTCTGGGGCGCCTGCGTCGACTCCATGGACGCCGAGGGCCGCACCGTGCTCAGCACGGCCGCCGCGCAGGGTGCGTCGTCTTTATTATGTCTAAATAACTGCGTTTTACTAAATGCATATCACATTATAATCGGTACTTATAAGAAAAACACTTTTTTTTTTATTTTTGCCCGACTGTCTGTCTGTTTGTTCCGGATAATTTATAAAACGGCTGGACTGATTTTGACTGGAATTTTACTGGAAGATAGCTGATGTTATAGAAAGTAACATAGGCTACTTTTATTTTAGAAAAAAAAACTAAAACCAAACGGGTTCCGCTCAGAAAAATTAAAACGTACAGAGGCGAACCCGAGCGTCACATAGATGGGTGGGGTAGTCAATATAGTATTTTTTTTACTTCCTGTTTGCAAAAAATGATTGACGGGTGGTCACCGAGGGAGGAGAGGGTGGGAGAGGTAAAAAATGGGACACGTAGTATAGGTACGTTTCCTAAGTTTAAAAATATTTTATATGAGCGAAAATCGGTTTTTATTATTACATCTATAATTATTTTTTTTTGCTTTTTTGTGTATGACAATGTGAACAGCGCTTAAAAAATACATTTGTTTTGTTTGGAGATATTTTAATTTACTCGACAACACTGACTCTTGCACAAAAAATTGCACTCTAATTTATATGGCGAGTAGAGTCAGAATCCAAAAAAAATAAACAAAATAATACTTATTTACGTATTTCTACACATCAATACGGTTATCTATTTTGTGCCTATACTTTTTTTTAGGAAGGTAAAAATGAATCTAATATAATGTCATTGTGTCTGTTATTTCATCTAATTTAAAACATAGCAAAAAAATATTAGATAAATAACGAGTATGCGAGTTAGACTCGCACTTGTCCGATTTTTTTATAGTTTTTTTAATGGTGTTGTTACAGGTAACGTGGAGGTGGTACGGCAGTTGCTAGACAGGGGCTTGGACGAACACCATCGGGACAATTCTGGGTGGACGCCGTTGCATTACGCTGCTTTTGAAGGTACTCATAGTAATGGACTTTAAGAAAAAAAGTAAAAAGTGAACTTTTAAAAAAAAATGTAAAAAAAAAATTGAAATATATTTCGGACTACAATTTTAATTGCGAACGTTTGCATGAGTGTGTGTGTGTTTGTGTGTGTGTACGTGTGCGTGTGTGCGTGCGCATAGAGGATATGAATATTATAATTAATTATTGCTTTATATTTTAATCTTGTTGCTTATGTAATACTAGTTTGCCTTTGTTTTATTTTTTTTGAAGCGGGATAGAGATCAAGAATATTATATATTCGTCCCTAAATACAATCTAAATCCTTGCCAAATTTTATCGAAACCTGTTGGGTGATTTAAGTGTAGAAAGGTAACAAACAGTTATTTTTTCATTTTTAATATTAGTATGTATAGTGTGAATTGTACTGTTTGTTTTTCTAATAAAGAATAGAATAAAAATAAAAACTACAATGACCAGGTCACATAGAAGTATGCGAGGCCCTCCTAGAGGCAGGCGCGAAGGTAGACGAGGCAGACAATGACGGCAAGGGCCCTCTGATGCTGGCGGCGCAGGAGGGCCACACGCGGCTGGTGGAGCTGCTGCTGGACCAGTGGGGGGCCCCGGTGGACCAGCGGGCGCATGACGGGAAGACCGCTCTACGGTAAATATAGTCAACTAAAATATTTATGTACACTTTGCTTCGCTCGGGTCGTTTAAACAGTTAGTATGGAATGACAGATTATATAATTATATATACATGTGACGAGTTGTTGTTGGGAGTATTATAACGTGTTTTCCCGTGGGAATGAGATAATCTCCCGTTGTAAAAAGTAGCCTATGTATCAATCCAGCCCTCCAGTTCAATCCGTCACTCGTGTTTCGACGTGAAAGAAGGTCAAACAAACAAACACACTTCTACATGTATAATATAATGTGTGTGCGGGCAGGCTGGCCGCGCTGGAGGGGCACTTCGCGACGGTGTCGGCGCTGGTGGCGCGCGGCGCGGACGCGGACGCGGCGGACGCGGACCGGCGCAGCACGCTGTACGTGCTGGCGCTGGACAACCGCCTGGCCATGGCGCGCGCGCTGCTGGCGGCCGGCGCCACCGTGCACGCCGGCGACGCGGAGGTACGCACACACACACACACACACACTTCATTTCATTCATTCATTCATCAATTTATTCATACATCCATTCATACATTCATTCATATATCCATTCATCCATTCTTTCATTCATACATCCAATCATTCATTCATACATCCATTCATTCATTCATTTACAGGACACACAGTTGTTAAAACATTATATATCTTATCTAAAAACTTAACACAAAAATCGAAATATAAAAAAATGTTTAACATTTGAAGGTGTCACAACATGCGCCATATTTTAAATAAAACTATCTTTTCGGATTCTTTCGCGGATTTATTTTGATTTTTAACTACGTATAAACAGGTCATCCATTCTAAAGTATTTTAACTTAAATTTATACGAAGGAAGTTGTGTTTTGTTTTTGTTACCATTGATATACATATAATGTATTGACGTTTAGTTTAGATTTCTCAGAAATTAGATATTTTCCCGCAGTAAAAAGTATCCTATATGTTGACCCGGATAACTAGCTATCGTCTTATCAAATTTCATCAAAATCTGTCCACTGATTTTTTCGTGATGCGTTTCCAGGTAGACAGATAAACAAAAATTCTAAAATCTATAGATTCGGCCTCTGTACCAATAATAATGTCTTTATCAATAAGATTTCCCAATAAATATTTTATATATTTACCAACTTAGTTACAATTTTATTATATATGTATTAATTAATGTAACAAAGCCACCATCTAGAAACTCAGCTGCAAACAACTATCCAGATGATCATATAAATACACAAATATTTAATCAAAATTGGTTAAGCCGTTTAGGAAGAGAATTGCAAATACACACATACTGGAATTTAGTTTTAAGATTACTGCACTTTATGGCATGTTTATTATCTTTGGCTTGTTTGTCTTTTTGTATTAGTATTTCACTACGTATTATAAAAAAGTCCCTTGCTGCATTGCGTTTGTGTTTGTTCAAGCTAATCTCAGAAACTTCTCTACGGATTTTCATATGGATTACCAATAGAAAGAGGGAGTATCTAGGAAAATTATAAGCTTTTTTCGTTCGATTTGTGTTAATTTAACATCCATTTCTGCAGGGTCGCACTCCACTGCACGTGTCCGCGTGGCAAGGACACACGGAGATGGTCAATATGCTCATCAAAGTGGGTAAGTGATGAAGGCATAGATGTCTATATGCTTTAATATGGGAACTTTAGACCTTTTACATATACTATGTTGTCAAGTAATTACTTTTAATTTTGTTTCTCAAATAATTAATATGTCTTTGTTTCATAGTAATATCATTTTATCTGTAAGTTTGTGTTATCTATGCTCTTTGGTAATTTAAATTCTGCTAATATATTGATGCTTATTTTGGAATAAATAGATTACATGCTTAGGTATGACCCCCTCTCCCTCTTCTCCCCCTTTTACCCCCCTTAAGGAATGAAAAAAGGGAAAAGATAGGCAAACAGACAGACAGAGTTACTTTCGCTATTCTAATATTAGTATGGATGTGAATGTTTGTGCGTACCCGGCAGGCGGCGCGGCGGTGGACGGGCGCGACCGCTGCGCGCGCACGGCGCTGCACGCAGCGGCGTGGCGCGGCCGCACCGCCGCGCTGCGCGCGCTGCTGCAGCACGGCGCCTCCCCCGCCGCCGTCTGCACGCAAGGCGCCACGCCCCTCGGTCAGTTGCTCTATATATATTCTTTATTGCATTCATACACAACATAGAGAATGACGTGAACTAGAGTGGATCTTTATCTATTGGACATCTCTTCCAGTCAACGCATCTATGTAGGTAATAGCGTAAAAAAGCGCAAGAGAAAGAGAAAGTGCAAAGAAGCGATAGGAAAATATATAAGAATATGTTTAATTAAAACAAAATGAATACAATACACAATACTACTAGCAATACACAATTTGATGTTGGCAGTTACACTGTCTTTGTTGTTGGAATTTTGAGGGGTTAAACTAGGGCAATTTTTGTTTATGATTCTGAACTGTCTAAACTTATTTAAATTATTGTTTGATTATTAAAAAAATATATTTTTTATTTCAAAATTGTTCTTTTATGAACTAATGAAGTAAACAGAGTCGCAGGCAAAAAGTAAATGATATGTAGAGAAAAATAATTATTATTAACTTGTTCTTGTTTATCGAAATCTTTAAACCTCAAGGTAGTTGCTTCACAAGTACTTTTGAAAACTTTTATTTTTAGACAATATATCGTTCAAGTCGAACCCTTAATATAAATAGCCGTAAAACTGATGATATTAGTAAATAAAATTTAGTTTTTATAAAGGATGTACTGTTAATGATACGGTTTTCATACAGGTATAGCGGCTCAGGAGGGACACGAGGAGTGCGTGCTGTGGCTACTGCAACATGGCGCTGATCCCTTACAAGCAGATCATTGCGGTTAGTTTATATATTATATAACACAGGCATTGATATATAACAATATATGTAGGTACACATTTTTCTAACAAATATCTCTTCAAATATGGCGTCGACATGAGACGCTAAATTAAACCAAATAATACAATTCAAAAATCGAAAGTTCTAATTGTCTAAACATAAATTCGAACTTACACATACAACATAAAGTACCCTTTAAACGAAGCAACGTGCGTTTTGAAGTGAAAGTTAGAATCGTTGTGATTTGAAACTCGATGAAACGAAAATGTGACACTAGAAAGAGACAAACACAGTAATATATAGGATTAATCCGGCGAGAGAATGAGATAGAAGACATTACACAGGAAGTGAAAAATGATACTGACTAATATGTTATGTAATATATATTAAATGAAATGTAAAATAACTCTTAAAGTTGGTAAAAAAAAACTAAACCTTACAATTATCCTACTCCTGATACTCTATGCGTGTTCATCTCATTCTCTCGTAGGTTATTTTTATTAAGTTTCATTTCTACCGTGTGTGAATTGCAAACTCACGTACTTTTTTATTTTTTATTTTGTCATATTAAAAGAAATGAATGAAAGAGATTTGAAAAAAGCGCATAATTTGATTTATGCACTTCTTTTTAAGGATAATTTTGAGACCCCAATTGTGTAACTTGAGTTTTTGTATATCAATGATCAAAGTATAGAAATCTATACAGAAGGTAGTGTAAGGATAGCCCATCCATTTTAATGAAAATTATCCAAATGGAAAGGTTGTCAAATACCAATTTAATTCAATTATCTCGTTAATGACTTCAAAGCGGGCCAGTTGAGCACAGATTACTTTAGAGTAGAAGTTAATCTATACTAACATTATAAAGAGGTAAAGTTTGTGGGTTTGTGACGTTGTAGGCGGTAATCTCTAGATCTATTGAACCGATTTAGATGAAATTTGGTAAGAAGATAGTTTGATACCCTGGGAAGGACATAGGATACTTTTTATCCCGGAATTCATTCCTTAAGGGGGTGAAAATGGGAATGAAAATTTGTATGTGGAATCAACTTAGGGAAGAATCCGAGCGTAGCTTGGTGAGTCGCTAGTATATAAATAACGCGTGTCCGTCCGTCAGGGCGCACGCCGGCCAAGGTGGCGTGGCGCGCCGGGCACGCCAACATATGCCGGCTGCTGGAGCGCTGGGCGGCGCCCTCCGCGCCCGCGCCCCCGCTCCCGCCGCACCCGCCGCCGCCGCCCGGCGACGACCTGCGCACTAACAGGACCGGTGAGTGTTTGTTTTGTTGTCTGTACCCACTCATAGATAACATATACTGTAAATAAATAAAATTGAAGTGTCTGTTTTTAATGTCGAAGTAACTGGTTTTTACTAAATGGTTAAAACATCCATACATACTCAAACTTTCACATTTATAATATCAGTACTGATGTATCGCAGGTTCCCCCGACTACAAGCGGCGAAGTGTCCACAGTTCGAATTCGACCAAATCATCCTCCAACATGACGGGCGGCTCCAACCGGTCGCACGAGCCGGACGAGGCCAACGATAAGGTATTATATATGTTTGTTTGTCTGTTTAACTTTAGGGGCTTATGTTTATAGGAGTTTTTTCAAGAACATGCATGAAGGAAGGATTTTTTGAATTGACTTATGTTTAGGTTTAAAAAAAATAGTAACAAAATTTAGTATTTTGAATCTGTGACATTTTTCGGTATATAATTTTTAAGCTGTACCTATTAATTGAATGTTTTTCAATTTTTTTTTAATTTAGTATTTGGTAAGAATTTAGTGTCTCAATTTAGTTTTGTTTTTCTAATGTTATGTGTTTGGCTTCTGGTTTTAAGTTATCTTTTGTTTTTTGTTTGTTTAATATATAATGTATTTTTTTGGATTTGATACAAACTGCTCAGACACAAAGGTTTTTGTATAAAGAAATTGTCATTTTTTTATATATACAGATATTTATATATCGGATGTAATGGACACGCGGTTAAGCAGACATTTTTTTATATAATTAAAATACAATTTCAGGCGAATCGAGCAAATTTATCGCTTTCCTTCGCGCAGCAAGTGGCCCGATGCGGACGGTCGCGGCGGGAGGAGACGGTGCCGATACCCGAGCATAGTGTCGTGGAGCAGGACTCTAAACTTAGGTGTTTATTATTTTATTATTATCTTTATCTTACTGTTGGTATTATAATTTATTTATATATATTCTATTGAGGTGCACGAATGAACTACGAATCCAAATATACGTCTCTTGAATATGAGTGCTGTAGGATGACTAAATACATTTTATACAATTGAACAACATCTTTGCGACTCAATTTTACTATCAAATATGGATACAACCAAATAAATATCTGTGCACACGGTACAATTTTACCATTTTTAACACGAATGTTGGTACTCCAGTCATGGATGTTTATATTTATAATATGTATGTATTTAAAGTTATATATGTGTAGTGTATCAACTATCTGGTATCCACAAAACGAGCCTCGTAGCTTACCATGGAAGTAGATGGTGCTGTGTGTTAATTTCCCGACATATTTATTTATAAACATAATTGGCTAACCAAACCCCCAGGAGCTACACGGCGAACGAGCGTGACGGAGAGCTCCGCGGCGACGCGCGCGCGCGCGACCGCCGCCGCGAGCAGCGCCACGGCGCCGCCTCGCCGCTGTACGCGTCGCCGCCGCGCAGCCCCAGCCCGCGCAGCCCCGACCCGCCGGGTGTGTACATACATACATACATACATACACCTATACTAATATTGTAAAGAGATTAAGTTTGTGAGCTTGTGACGTAGGGGGTGATCTCTGGATCTACTGAACCGATATAGATGAAATTTAGTAAGAAGATAGTTTGAGACCCTGGTAAGGACATATGATACTTTTTATCCCGGAAATCATCCCTTAAGCGTGTGAAAATGGGCATGAAAGTTTGTATGAGAAATCAAGCCAGGGACGAACCCAAGCGAAGCGAGGGTGAGTCGCTAGTATACATACATACTGACACAGTCAGACATAAACGTACATAAGTACATGCCCGCACACCTACATAGGGAGCAGATCTGCTTTCCGAGCTGGTGGTAGCTTCCTCGCAAACTTACATACTGACATTTCACTTTAATATATATATATATATATGTATATATATATATATATATACACACCACAACTTAAAAGACTTCGTAAATGTTTATTTGAATAAAGTAAATATTTTGATTGCCTCGGTGGTCTAGTGGCTACTATGTACAAGGTCGCAGATCAAGAGTCCTAATTTCGAGTCTCGGTCGGGTCAAGTATTTCGTTCAAGAAATTCTAAGTAATTTTATACATTCCCAGGGTCCCAGCCGCAGAGTCTGACCAACGTACAGCCATTAGTGACGGACACGCACTTCAATAGAGACACTCACATGAGGATAATACTCGGACGAGGAAACAAATCGGCCAATGAGAGGCATGATAGGTATTTTTTTTAATTATTATAAATTAATACTTTCTTAGATTTACGCGAATATTTGTCATTTTAAATAAAACTATCTTTTCCGATTTCTTCGTGGATTTATTTTGATTTTTGTTTTTCGATGTTTCTTATATAAAAAAAAACGAGAATTTCGGAAAGTTTAAAATACATATGATTGTGTGAAATTAAAGCGTATACACGCGTGCTAACTTTTTTATGATGTGGTGAGCTTATGTTTAGAGCTTTAAATGTCAAAAAGTAAAATTTATATTATTTCCCATTTATTGTCTAGCTAAGGATTATATAGCATGTTATATGTTTAATAATGTGAATGGAATTTATCCTATGTAGGGGTAAAGATAATATGATATGATTGAGTGGTTTTGATAAGAAATTGAAAATATCGATAACACTTGCACAAAAATATCGATAAATACATTTTTTTTATTTATCTATTTATAGTACTTATACTATATATTTATGGATATTTTTGTGCTAGTGTTATCGATATTTCGCCATTGTTCCGAAATTTGGGTTAACAAACAAACAGATTTATATAATTTTATATTAGTATTTTAATTTTGTTTATGAATTATGTATATTTAAAGATTTGGTTTTAAATGATCGCATGCCTCTACATTTTACAATGTAAGAGTAATAGAGTAAAGCATGTGAGGGTAGATGTTAACATTTTCTTAGTAAACTTTTTACGGGAAATCTCATAATAGTTACATAGACGGACAGACAAACAAACAAACTAACAGACAGACAAACAGACAGACAGACAGACAGACAGACAGACAAACAAACAAACAGTCAGACATACAAACGGAGAGGCAGACACACATATAGACAAACAAACAGACAAACAAACAAACAAACATAGACAAACAGAAAAACAGACAGGCAGAGAAACAAACAGAGAGAAATACAAACAGACATACCATATGTATATACCGTAGGAACTGAATGTGGGATAGTTATTTTGAATTATTATTTTAATTTTTTTTTTATTCGATTAAATTAATTTATATTTTATATAAATATTTATATATTCCTTATTTCTCATATAAACGCAATGATAGCGAGGTGATATTGGCGTACAACCGGATAGTTAGCAGCTTAGGGAGAGCGAGAGGGAGGATATTTAAGAAAACGTGAGTGACAAGGATAGATATATGCAATCTCGATGGATGCGTTACTGTGGCATTTTTTGATGACATAAATATTTGTTTTTTATTCATTTTTATAGGTATTAGCTTTGTATTAAGGAAGAGAGGTATTTTTTTTTAAATTTTGAATAATAAACCATTAAATATTTAACGCCATTAGGTTTCTGGAATGTATCTAAATTCTAAACTAGTTAATTTTCAATAGTACTTTTCTCAAATAGTTGATATACTCATGCAGATTATTCAATCTGAACATAAAGAAATTATATTTTGTCATTAATGTAACATACATTATATTGATGTACAAAAGTCATTTCAATAAAAAAAATTGTGTGTGTATGCAATTCACTTAGAGTAGAAGCGAAACTTCTACAAATATCACAATTAAATTAAAACAAATCAATAATTAAATAAGGCATATTAGGCATATTATAATCATATATTTATAGAATATCATATACGGAAAGAATATAATTTTATATATTTGTTAGACAAAAACAACGGTTACCATGGCAACACGGCAATGATATCTCATTCTCTCGTCGGCTCAATCCTATATATTTATGTGTTTGTCGCATTTTATTGTCGCATTTTCGTTTAATTGAATTTCAAATTTAAAAATAGGAAAAATGTATTAAAATATGCCACAATAATTCATTTTCAATCGAGAGTTTATTGCAAAGATTGGCTGGTTCATGCTGTTACTAATTCATATTCATCTAACGTATTCATTTTTCGCCGACAAACGTATAGTCATATATATATATATATATATATATATATATATATATATATATATATATATATATATATATTAAATAGTCCGTCTGTTCATACAAAATGTCTGATGATATTTTTTTAACTGACATGACAATAACTTTAAAAGTGTTTTTTTTATGGAACCACCTTAACATATGAAGGATTATAAGTGTCGGTTTGGTTCCGAAATGACAAGACACCGAGTTATTATACGTTATAAAAAATACGCTAACTTTAAATAAAATTACATATATGTACTTATTCCACCATAAGTGATTTATTTTTATTATAATATATATAAGAGCACCTTGACGTATTCAATAAAAAATAAATTCGATATACACAAAAAACTTATTATACAATTATTAATTTTATAGAAAGTGGCATTATTAGTTTTATAGAAGATGACACTTCTGAGATGGATTGATGTGATCGCCTTCGAACTACTGTAATGTTGTAGAATTATTGTAATTTATAATTTAAATACAAAAAAGATAAAAAAACATAATATTAGTCCCGCTGAGTTCCTTTCGCCAGTTCTTCACAGGTCTGAGGCTTCTTTTCGAACTGACGGTAGACTCATGAAGTTTAGTTTTTTTTTTAAATTGTAATATATAATTCAATGCTGAGTAAAGTATTTTAAATTTGAATGCAACCCAGTTGACTCTTTTAAGTCGGTCAAGAAGTAAACAACATACAAAAAATCGATACGATTTTCTTATTTTTTCTTTTTGATATTTTTTTCATAATTATGGTTATTTTTAAATTATTTTGTACCTGTCTTTATTAATTTACATTTACTTTTTATAAATATGAACATTCTATATAAGCTGTATGAAAAAAAACGTAAATATATAATTATTGTAGCTTTTTTATTGTCATTGAAACCATTTTATACTAACTTAGTTACAGTGGTACTAACAGAAAGCCTGTTTTGCTTTGCTTTGCTTTAATAATAACGAGGATTGGCGAATAAAAGGTGTGATGGAGTCACTTTTTCTCGAATTCCTATTTATTGTATTGTTCTTTTAAACATTCAAAATCATTCAAAAACGGGCTTATAATAAGCTAAAAAATCTCCAATTTATCCAATTTATTATGTTTTCATAATAAATTATATTGCAATCATTTAATAAAATTTTATGCCCTTTCATTATTTTATAAAATTTAGATTTTTTAAATTCAGCTGTTTTTTTAAATCAAAATTAAATTAAATAGAAGGTGTCAAAAGCTGTGAAAAAAAAAACACTCTGTATTCGTAATCGCCTTGTTATTATTTTGGTTTGGTGGCTTATTTGATTTACTAATATATCATTTCGACGACGCGTTTGGCTCAGTTTGTAGTGACCCTACTTTCTGTGCCAACGGTCGCGGGTTCGAGTCCCTCTGGGGGCATTCATTTGTGTGATGACGAATGTTTGTACTTCAGTCATGGATGTTTATATTTGTAATATGTATGTATTTAAAGTTATATACGTGTAATGTATTAACTATCTGGTATCCATAACACAAGCCTCGTAGCTTATCATGGAACTAGATGGCGTCGTATTTATTATATTCTTATTTATTTATATATGTAAAATATGTTAATGTGTCTTTATATTAGGATTCGCGGGTTCGATTTTGTTTGAGACAAATAAATATTACTACAGTCTACTTATCCATACAGTCGTCTAACGTAGGTATTTAGACAATGCGGGTAGGGGAGGCATTCCCGACTTACATATATATTTTTATATAGTAGTCGGGAAATGGCTTTAGGGTTGACACTTATAATTGTAACTTGCGCATTAACTACAAAACCGTTCGCCATTATATTTTGTTTATTTTTTGACAACCCTTGTATTTGGCGTGATTTTCCATAAAGATCAAAGGCGATCACCTACTGTATAGATTTTTATACTGTGATATTACTATATGAAAATAAATATAGGTATTGTATCTCTACGGTTGCCTTATACAGCATGTTTGAAAAAGCTTTAGAACATTTTTTCCCCGTTTGCTATGTTATATTTTTTAATTTTTTTATTAGCGTTATTTTTTTTATTTTTTCATTAATAGATGTATAAAACAAATTTATAATATGTTTGTTCACAGTAAAAATAAGAGAAACGGTATCGTGACGAATCCAGCGATGCGTCTAGTCGCCAACGTGAGGAATGGGCTAGGTGAGTTACGTTATAACTAAATCACACTACCCATGTCGGTCACGACGGCCAATCTCACTGAGACTAGCCGACTGCGGGAGATATTAATATAATTTATAAATTATATTAACTATAGTGCATGCACTATAGTGCATGTATGAGGGAGAGCATATTTCTAAAAAAACGCAATTTTTATATCTTTTCCAAAAAAAAAACAAAAAAGGATCAGATACTAACATTAAAGTTGTATTATAATGCAGTGCATCATCATGAATGCTAAATTTTATCCGAATATTTCTGTTAAATTTTATAAGCGTAATCATGTAAAAAACATACAGACACACACTTTTTCATTTGGAAGAAAAATCAAAAAATTGCTATTAGTGCCTTCGTTCGGTGGCCTCCTAGATGCCTTATAGCTCACGTGCCTACCCCACCACACGTCATAGTCTATCTATCATCATCAACCGTTTCATTGTTAAAGAGTAACAGACACACGTACAAACTTACAAATTTATAAATAAAATAATATATATTTTCATAAACAGATAAAATGATATATTTCATCAACAGATAGCGCAGCAGCTAATATACGTCGTACGGGCGTAGCGTTAGCCTCTGGTGCCAGTTCGAATCCCGCCGTCAAAACCAACGCCTTCCAATGGAGGAAAGAGACGCCGCTATAGTGCGATAAAGACGTATATGTCTTGGTGATATGAGACGGTAACTAGTGTGAAAGAGAAAAATATATCGCACCGTTAAATGGCTAGACCAGTGGTTCCCAATATTTTCGGCAACGGAACCCTAATTGATCATATTTTTTTAAACGGATTCCCATTTTGATAATAACTAAACTGATTGAGTTATAGTTAGAACACTTCCTTGTTTGAAAGAACAAATCATAAATGAAAAATATTAATATTTATTGTACCAAAAATATAACCTAACTATTTAATGTGATTGATGAAATTTTTTCACATATTTATTTACAATAGCACTAAAATTAGGCGGCACGTCTGACAATGTTTTATTTAACTCTCGACCGGAACTCGGAACCCCTGTGACCCTTCCACTGAACCCTAGGGTACCGCGGACCACCATTTGGGAACCGCTGGACTATACGGTAACTAACGTGAAAGAGATACATAAATTACGTGTAAGAGATAGAGATATATCTTAAATACAAATAAGACTTTGCTTTGGACAGAAGCTATTGTATTATTTTATGTATGGAAATAAAACCATAATTATTTGATAAAAACAATATTTTATCATATAAATAGTATCAATTGTAATATTTTTGGATAAAAAATCCAATTTTAGTTTTTTTTTATTCAAAGAAGACATTTGCGCATTTTTCTTTAATACAGATGTATTTTTTTAATTTTTTTTTTAATAATATGTTTGTTATTTTGAACACTAAAGTTATACACTAGATACCGAATTTGTCAGCCTAAAAATGAAAAAAAAAAAAATACTATCAAAAGGAACGAATATTGTTATAGTCTGTTGCATAAATTCAAAAGAAGGTCATTCCCTAAAAAGTAATAAGTATTTTTGTGTATTGAACTAAAATAAAAATACAAGTTTTTTTATAGCAGTCAACATTTTTAAAAACAAAAAACTTGTACAATATGCCAACTAAAATCTTAATTTTTGTTTCTAAGAAAAGTGCTGATAGAAACACGTATATTTCGATATGTTACATCAAAATTAGTTAAATTCAAATTTAATACGCATTTTTTGGTATATATAAAGACGTATGACTATATTAAATGACTAGGATTTACCTTCGCTTCGCTCTGATGCGTCCCTCGGTACGTTTTATTTTTTTTGAACTCTAATTTTTTTTCTAAAATGAAAATAGCCTAAGTTACTTCTTATAACATCAGCTATCTGTCAGTGAATGTACCGTCAAAATCAGCCCAGTTGTTTCGGAGATTAGCCGGAACAAACAGACATATAGGCAAAAATTTAAAAATTTGTGTTTTTCTTATAAGCTGTTATTTTGACATTTCATTTTTATTTATCTGTATAGATTATAAATTTTCAGACTCATTTTTAACCTAAGTATGATGTATACGTTAGATGTACCTTCGTTTGAAGTTAAGCAACGCTATTGTAAAATCGTTCCTTTGATAAAATGAATATGTTTGGGAAATTTATGTGTATGGAAAAGAACTGATATATAATTAATTTATTATACAAACATTGATGTAATCTAAAATGTCTTCAAAGCAAATATTATATTGTAAAAAAAAACTAAATTGGAAAAAAATGGAGTATATGCAGAGATCAATATTCCTTTACTCGAGCAAAGACATTAAAAAAACTGTTACCTAACGTAGTAACAGAAATAGGACATTACACATAATAACTATAAAAGATGTGAAGAAGAATCAAATTCATATATTCACCACATGTACCTAAATGCTAAATTGCTAAACAAATAATGATAAAACTAACAAAAAAAAATCATCCTTCGCCTTCAAATTCCACAGTATTTTTAGAACTATGTAATCTGAATAAGTAGATCAATATTGTAGGTAACATACATAGTTGTTTCCAAAATGTACTAAAATTAGTTCCCGCTACAATTAAAAAAATTATATATTTTAATATCTTTATGTATAGAGCGTGAATAAATCGGCGTTATTGTTTTATAATGTAACTAACTATACGTGGCTTTGCTCGTATTCAAACTTCCGATCGCTACAAAACTTCACAGGATCACTCGCTTGGCTAATCTGATTGGCTGAAAATTTCATCAAAATCGTTCTAGCCGTTTTGGAGTCCTAGGGAACATACATACACACATCGATATCCTATGTCCTTCTCTACGGTCCAATCTGTTGCTGTACCAAAATTTATAAAAATATACTCAGCGGTTTAGACAATAAGTTTATTTTGTAGTTTTATAACAAATAAATTACAAATTATTGCATATGTTTTGAATTTTGCAAACGTGATTTTTTTTACCCGAATAAAGTGAACTTTTTTTTTCTATTTTTGCTTGAATTTATTATACATTTTTTATATACATTACTAGTAATATTAAACTATTTTCTTGATAAAAAAGCATCAGGAAAACAGACTGCCAATTATGATTTAGCCTTTTTTCCCCAAAAATAGGGAAAATTTATTACTGACGCAACTCGATTTGTCGATTTATTTACGCTCTTAAGTTAGTCTAGTTTCATAATCGTTTATGGCAAAGCTGGGGATTGTGGATTTTTAGTACTTATTATTTATTTATTGTATATGGCAAGATGGGAATAATGCGAAACAAAATTAAAAAGAAAATGTCAGGCTCAAAAGGCGGTCTTGTTATTTAGGCATTTAAATTTTAGTTTCTTTTTGACATGTCTACTTTCTATAATGGATATTGCTTATATAAAACTAAGAAACATATAAAAATGAACTTACCATCGCCTTGAAATAAAGTACTGCTATGTTTATTTAAATCATATTTTTTTCTACATATTTGTAAGTTTTCGCTTAGATTGACTTAAACCGGACATTTTTTCTTTTTTCCGTACTAAAAATCCACAATCGAATAGCTTCATCAAACTTAGCATAAAAAGACTACAAAAAATATACAATGTTGCCAACTAAAAAAAAACCTATTAATCTATAGTATTCCGTATTAATTGTATTAAGCAGTATTACGTACATTAAATTGAACATTTCAAATTTGCATTTGTTTTTAGTACAATTATTGTTAAAATTAACAAAAAAAATCCATATAAAGTAGTTTGGTAATTTTCCTTTTGATCTCAATTTGAACAAAGTTAACTAACCTAGTGTTTTTTTTAAATTAATATCTATCTTTTCTACTAGTCCAAAACTTTGCAGGTGCCTATCTGAAATGCTACATGTATAGTCTTTAAATATAGTATGGGCTATTCGATTAAAACTGACATTTTTATTTTTATGTATTGGCAGCACTGATCTGTAAAATAGCGGGAGATTATGATTTTGTAATTTATAATGCAACAAGATTTGCATATAAAAATGTCTTGTAGGTATTGTTTCGTTAGAACAAAATCTTCTTTGTCAGAAAGGAAAAATGACGTCTCAAATAGAGCAAAATTACTAATTTTTGTTATTTATTTTTATGTTAAGTCAATATGTTCTTTTAAGTAAAAAAATAATAATTAAAAATGATTTTTTAATCGTCTAGTCCATTCTAAATGAATATGTAGATGTTATATTAAAATTAGTAAAATATAATTGCGATATGGCAACACCAATGTGTGAGTGTGTTAAGCTATATATTATTTTTGTCATGATTGTGAATAATTATAAGAAAAAAAGTGTTAAAAACAATATTTTTCCATTTTTTTGGCTAGACTTTTTGTATTATTTTTTTTCATTTTCGTGACATATATACAACGAGTAATGACAATGTTATCAATTTTTTTTAAACACTTCATAAACTTTTTACTTCTTTACAAGGTTAAAGAAGTCAAAAGTGTCGAAAATACTTTGCTTGCCAAAATATATAATATATATTATTATTATTAGAGCTATTATTCAATTATAATCAATAGAAAATAGGTGCTGTACATTTTTTATTTAATTAAACTTTATATTATGTACAAAAAAAATAGTTTTTCATCTTAAAATTATACGTAGGCTTAATACGTAATAATGACTTGTAAGTGGTGGAATTCTAAGTCGTTGTCTTAGTTCTTATTTGTTCAAACGACCAATACTTGATGTACTTTACAGTAGACAGTTTTCCTCTATTTTAAAAATGACGCTTTATTACATATATAGACAAAGTCTGCCCGCACTTTGCCAGCGTGGTGGACTATGGCTTGATCCCCCTCGTATTGAAAAGAGGCCCACCCCCAGCAGTGGGATGTTAATCCTTATTAATACATATAGAAAAAGTATATTTTTTCTTAAAACTCTTAAAGCTTCATTTTTAAAATAGAATATTTATTTAATACCAATGGAATTGACATTTAAAAGTCAATAATTCGGTATTAAAAACTTTCGGTAAATTGATCGTTTGGACAAATCAGCATTGAGACGACGAAGTGTTAAAAATATAGAAGTGATTTTTATTTATTTATTTCCATGAAGTTTTTATTCAAAATAACGTCATTGAAGAAAAAATGTTACTAACAATGTATATGTTTTTTTGGATAGTTTGGAATCATAATTGGATCCAGTTATGCAAAAAACAGCCATGTGCGTAAAAGTACCACAAGTTATAAGCATTTTTCTGTCGATAGTTGCACTTGGGTTATGTTTTGTTTTTCTGGTTATTTTAAAATTGAACAATATTTATATAAGTATGGTTTATTTTTTATAATTATTTTATTTTTTATAATAAAATGCTTATAACTCTGTTGGTACTTTTACCCACAAGGCTGTTTTTTGCATAACCGGGTCCAATTGCCCCAAAGAAAAAACTTTTTAAAAGTTTTTTTTTATTTTGGATAAAAAATTGTATTTTGGTATTTCTCTTGAATTTGTGTCATAATTTGAGGCTATCGTTTCGTTTAAAAAAAAATAGGAAGATATGATTGATGAAATTAGTGTATAATTAAAACTAAAATGTTAAAATTAATAAATTTAGAAAAAATACGTCTTAATCTGTGGCTTGACAATGTTTTTCAGTTTATTTTTAATCTAATTTTAGTCTAAAACTGTTAAAACTAAATGACTG